AAGTAAAGCAGTTTTAGAGTATTGGTTTTGACAGCCACACAACCTCAGTCTTCTTTTTGGCAATGCAATTTCAAGGTATATCTTTAAAATTTTAATCTAAGAATTATTGATCTATAAGGGATGTTGAAAAGACAATCAAAATCTTTCATTCTGATTATTAAAAGAAAGTGAGGGCTTCCCTGGTGGCACAGTGGTTGAGAGTCAGCCTGCCGATGCAGGGGACGCGGGTTCGTGCCCCGGTCCGGGAACATCCCACATACCGTGGAGCGGCTAGGCCCATGAGCCATGGCCACTGAGCCTGCGTGTCTGGAGCCTGTGCTCTGCAACGGGAGAGGCCACAACAGTGAGAGGCCCAAGTACCAAAAAAAAAAAAAAAAAAAAAAAGAAAAAAAAGAAAGTGAAATTCTGTTTCAAAACCCTAAAGAAGAAATTATATAAGTATCTTCTTCCAGTTGTTCTAATATTTAAGTTTCCTGAGCCATTAGGAAGTTCTTCCTTGTATCTTATCTAAATATAGAACTCTTTGTTATAGTTCAGAGTCATCTATTAAAATCAAGGACAGTTGGTCATGATGATGTCAGTTTCACATTAATTAATGAATCCTTAATATAAAGTCATTTTGAAGTGGTTCAAGCTGCACTGTTAAGGGGATGGATTTAAAACTTGTTCAGTGTCTTTTTTCCAGATTTCCATGAGAAAAAAATTAACTTTTCAGAGTTGCTATCCTTCTTTATTAGCCCAGTCAGATTAAAGATGACATTCAGCCTAGTTGTCTTCAGACTTTCAGAAGCAGTTTTTCTTAGATGGGATCAGTAGTTTCTTTAGGCCCAAGTGCCATTAGAAAGCTTAACCAATGACAGCCAAGAGTGGGGAGGAAAAAGAGAATAAGGTGAGGGGAAAAGAAGCAGGCTGTCAGTGGAAGAAAGAAGGGGGGAAGATCGAGGAAAGATGGGAAAAGAAATGGGGAGTGAATGAAGTAGACTAAGGTTGATGGTGCTAGGGTGTCACCAGCAGTTATATCAGGTGCCACATGGTGCATCCCGCATCCTGGACCAGAAAGCGAGCCGACTGAAAATGGGAATTAAATTAACTTTAGGGCCTGCTTGGGTCTCTTGCTACTGTCTTTGTTGCCTGACATTCAGACTGGTGCTCGTCAGACACTGTAGCATCCACATTTGAAGCAGTATGTTGGTCATTATCTACCTGTTAAGGACTCTGGCAGAAAATTGTAAGGGATTTCAAAGCAGCATAAAAACCAGTGAACCTAGTTCTTAGACTCCTTAGTTGAACAATGTCACAGAAACCAATAAAGGAATAACACCTTATCTGTCTCCTGAAGTGCCTCTCAAACTTTTCTACCCAAGTACTTCTGACTGTAGAGGTGATATGAAATGGGGACCTCAGAGACTAATAATATGATCCTGAAGTTTCTTTGAAGTCTTTTTATCTTGCAGATCCATGCACGGTTTACATTTTGTTCCATAATGGGTCTGTGTTTCTTTTAATAATAAAACAACATCCTACCACCTCCCACACGTATAAAAATCTTTGATGCTCAGGAGGATGCACTGTGCTTATGGTAGCATCAGAGATCCCCCTCCCCCCACCGCGTGCGTGCGCGCATGTGCACACACACACACACACACACTCTCTCTCTCTCTCTCTCTCTCTCCTCTTTCTGACACATTTCACACCCAGCGCACATTCCCAGCAGTGATACGGGAAGCAGGCACAGCGTGTAGCATTTGGTAGTCTAGGCTACACTGGTGATGGCACTTTGGACCTTTAGGGGAATTTGAAAGCTCCCTTTATAAATTATAATAGTCACTGATTACATTGCATAGACTTACCACAATAACCCTTTGCTCAATTCTGACAGCAAACCTTTGTGAGCAGAGACTTGGAATGTGGTTCTAGTCTACAGCTCCTCAGGGCATGTTCTTAGACCCTATAAAACCATCTGATCTTCACAGCTTTCTCTGAGCTGACTGGGTCAGGCATTCGTCTTTTCCCTGAACACACAAATATAGTATTCTTTCTCCTCCAAAGTCATTCTACCCAAGTAAGTTCTCCGTAAGCATGCTTGGAAATTTTAAATAATTCATGTACAATGTTAAACACAGTTCCTTACATATGGTAAACAGTCAACGGATGTTAGCTACTGTTTTGTTGTTGCAACTATCATTATTACAATATGTGCCTACGAGCAACCTTCAGACACGGAAAGTGAGACTTGGAGGTTGCATATTCAAAACAGATGGCTGATCAATAATTTGGGGTCTTGAGTTGTGAACATGTAACACCTTTCTAAAACTAAGGAGTATATACTGCTTGCTTTATGATTAAAGAAAATGACATAACTTAAATTCTTGAGCAAGATATTTAAAAATAAAGCCATTAACTCTGAAAACTGATTTTAGTTTCACATTATTTAGCAATGTGGTGAGTACATAGTGTTCTGTGGAGGAATAGTGCCTAACAGGGGACCTAGTTTGTACTGCTTATACGTGTTTGAATGAATCTTGATAGGTTGAGACCTCATTATAGAGGCCTGAATATATATACATGCCTGGTTAAGCAAGACATTTGAATGTTATTTAATGTTCAGTGAGAAGCCATTTCAGAATTTTGAACAGGGAAGTGATGTAATCCATTGCCTGCCTTAGACTGGAAGGAAATGTGCAAAAGGTTATATTTGATGACAGGGCTATGGTAAATTTCTTCTCCTTTTCTGAAGTTTCTAAGAACACACATCCTTTTTAAAGTTTCTGGAGCACACTCCCAAAGGTGATGGTGGCTCTCTATGGGGAGCTTGGGAATGGGGGTGGGGGCAGTGTATTTGAATCTGGGAGGGGTAACATAAGTACTTTGAATGAGAGCCCCCAAGGAATTGTCCTTCTAGAAAATCACTGTTTTAGGGAATCCTTAAGTATCAGAATCGTAGATTATAGAGCTACATTTAACCTAGAGGTCCTCAGATCTCACCCTCGTGTTATGGATGAGATCAAGTGAATTCCTCAAGGCTCTTAACCCAGGGCTTCTGATTCCTAGTCCACTGCTGTCTCTAATATACGATACATTAAAGTTTTAGACGATCGCTTCTCGGCCTTTTGGCTAAGATCAAGTGTAAAGTTGTAGGCAAACAGACTCTTAGGGAGGACTGGCCTATATAGCTTCATCTTTCCTGCTCCAACAAGCCTGAAGGTTTTCATGCCATCTTGCTATACATTTAAAATTGTACCACTTAGATATTCGTGTAGGTTAATAAGTATAAGAATGAAAATTAAAATCTCACCATCCCAGAGGCAAAGCACTGAAACATTTTGTTACATTTTCCCACCAGTCTTTTAAAAATATATGTATTTTTAAAATTAAGATCCTATTGTTTTATAGCTTGTTTTTTTAAAATTTAATATATCCAGACATTTAGTTATATACCTAAACCTTGTGTGAATACATCATTTAAAATGCTTATGTAGTAATATTTCATTGAATTCATGTGTCAAAACATGTATAATTAAACCTCTATTGTTAGATAGTAAGACAGTTCTCAGTTTTTCAAGCAAGCTGCTATTTTATGAATGCAGATGGCTCTCGGAGGAAGCCTTTTGGTCATTCACACAATAATATGAGTCAGTTAAATATCTATGTTTTCTTTTTACCACGTAGCTGAGAGCAGCTAAGTTAGAGAATGGAGGTTGTGATTTGGCATGTAGCACAATAAGGGGAGGAAAGATGGGTAGGAGCTGGTGTGAAGGGTATAGTTGTACATAGGCCTTGTGAAGCCCAGAATACAGTAGGTGCAGAGATAAGGAAGGAGGTTGCTAAAGTGGAGTAATTTCAGTATTTTGCATAGAAATGGCTCTTTTTTTCTTTTTCTGATCCATGTGACCTTTGTTTCAAGACTTAAAACTCGAGCTGTGTTTTGAGTTTTTTTGGTTCTCCAACACAGTAGATTCACTAAGTATTGGTTAAAAGGCTGGGGTGCCTGAGCACCACTTCCACTTATTATTGTCCAAGTTCCAACCTAGCTACTTAAAACCTTTTCAACATGATTGTTGTGAGTTTTGGGCTACCTGCAGACAAATAGTAAGTGTGTTTTGTCAGTTTAATGGAAATGAAAGGGCAGATATATTCAGGCTTAGTGACTAACTGAATGTCATTAGGAAAGGACAAGAAGACATCAAACATGACTTAAGAGCTAAAAGCCTCAAAAATGGTGAAATGAGGAGTTATTGCTGATTTGTGAAGAAAACTGAAGGATGACACCTGAAAACTCGTATTACATTTCAGGAACTTGTGCTGGTGAGAGATAGGGATAACACAGATAAAACCGTAATTTGGAGATATTCTAAAAGCCCTCATCTTAGCCAGTAGTTTCAGTTGTGGCTTAAAACACCATATCTATCTGTACTTCTGAATAATAAAATGGGTAAATTTGCATTTCACATCCTCCTTCTTTAGTTGAAAACAATTGATTACTTAGGAGAGGGATCATACTATAAACTAGGTCCCAGTTCTGCTTCTGATTTGCTATATGACATTGGACAAGGCATTTCACCTCTCTGGTTTCTAGTCTGTAACTCAAAGGATAATTAATACTGGTTTAGATAATTTTTGAAGTTCCTTCTGAAACCTAGAGTCTTTATTTCTAAAACAAAAAATGACCCCTGAGATAGGGTTGGCTGTACATTCTCAAATTTGAAAAATTCAGCAAAATGTTCATCTAGTAGATTCATGTAACTTTTAAGTATAGCATCTTGAAGGTGTCCCTCTATCAAGTAAAGAACAAATGTCTCAGTTTAATATATGGCTGCATAAAAAAATGCAACCACAGTAGGTGACCAAAAGGATAAGTAACTTTCAGGAATTTTGAAAACCCAGTAGTATTTAGTATGTGCTCTCTCAGCATTAAAAAGGTCACCTTGCTAATACATGTTAATTTTGAGAGCTTAATTGACCTTTGGAATGTTAATATCAACCTTTTTTGGTGTGTTTAGAGGTTGGAGCAATCACGGAAGAAACTGAAGCCTGTGATTGGTGGAGTTTGGGTGCTGTCCTCTTTGAGCTTCTCACTGGCAAGGTAAGCAGTGACCTGGAGGTTTATTAAGTTTATCCAGATGCTACCTTGATTTCAAATTGAGAATATTTAGCCTTTGCCTTTAGTTTTTAGGTCAGGGACTAAGAAAACCTTGATACCAAAAAGGGGGGGCGGCAGAAAAATGCATGTTTATCAAGATTCCAGATTTTTTAAAAAGTTGAATTCTATTACATTGAATAAATTGATGGTAAAATTCTGTTATGTCACACTGTTAGTCCATAGCGAGATATAAGACTACACACTCTTTCTCTTCTTTTTCTATGAGTCAGTTTCAACAGAGTTAAATCTGTAAGGTTCATGTAAGGATTTAAATTCTCTGTATGTTTTAAATACCTGTCTGAAACCAGGAGGGAATTATCATTTTAGAAAATTCATGTAGATATTAAAGGTAATATTATCTTTTTTCTCAATACTGTAATTTTTCCTGTCCATTCTGGCTTAATAGAGAGTTATTGATCAGAGAGAATGTATAGTCTCTCTGATCAATAACTTTTAAGTAAGATATTTGAGGTTAATAGTTAATAGATTTTAATTGAGTATTGTGCAGATTGCCTCCTGGGATGAAAACAGAGGAAATGAACAGTCATACTTTTGTAAGTAGTCATCTACCTTAAATATGTAGTTAATACTGAGCGCCTAACATGGTTGTGGTATACACAAGTCACCTGTACATACATTTAAACCATAAAGTGCTATACATATATAAAGCATTATTATTAACAACTTTTCAACTTTGAAGGTTTGTAAGAACACTAAAAAATTTGAGATATCAAGTCCCATTTTAGTTTTTGGGTATAATGGAAGTTTTTCTATTATGAGCCACTCTCTTTATAACTAAGGGAAAAGGGTGAGTGGCCTAAGCTTATGATGCGATTTTGATGACTGCCTGTATTTCAGTTAGAGTTCTGTGGGCTCATAGCCCTTGTACTAAACTGCTTAGAGGGTACTGTGGTGATTACTGCACCTCCGGTTAAAGTGGCTGTTGAGCTTTCTGTATTTGCTGTCCATAAACCCTGTGATGGAACAGAATATGATGTTGTGTGGGATAAGAAGTGTACCTGATTGATTGTTTCAGACTCTGGTTGAGTGCCATCCAGCAGGAATAAATACTCACACTACTTTGAACATGCCAGAATGTGTCTCTGAAGAGGCTCGCTCACTCATTCAACAGGTAATTTAATTGACCTATTGGCCAAGTATATCAACCATGCAAATTAGCAGAGCCCACAGCTCCAAAACCTTAAAGAAATTAGTTTCAGACAAGGAGGACCCTTTACTAATTACAAATTCAGAACTAGTACTGTACATCTTTAGGCTTCTACTATTATCTGAGTATTGGTGATGTCAGAGAGAATAGGTAAAGCTTGTTGGTATTATTTATTTATTTATTTTAAATCCAGGCTAATGTTTAGTCAATTCCATATGTCTGTGTAGGTGTGAGATTTAAGTATTGCTTTTAGCTGGTCTGGAGCTGCTCTATTACATTTTGTAACCATATGAGAATGGCTATGTTCTTTTCTTTTCTTTTTTTTTTTTTAACTTTTTAAAGAGTTTATTCCTTAGAGCTAGTCTCGAGATAGTATATGGCGAATGGCTATATTTATAAACGTAGGAATGGGCTACTTAGGAGAGAAGTGGTAGAAAATCTTGCCAAGTTAGATCACTTGTAGATCCATTCATGGAACTTGAATATTGGTGTCAGTTGGTGTATTTCTGGTGGCTTTGAAGAAAGAGACTATTGATAATTAAAGTTCAGTATCCCAGAGGCAGGATTGGAACTCTAGTGAGCTCCTTAAATTGATTCGCCGTGTGTAAAATGCTCACCTAGCTTTGAAGAGCAAGCTTTGATGAGTACACCGAGGGTTGTTAGCATTGAGGTGTGATAGGCTCACAGCCAATCAGCAAGAATTGTCAGGACTGTGATCCCCTATGCTTTTGGGAAAATATCAAGGGAAAAGTTATTTGAAAAAGATGAAGAACTAAAATTTTTGTTTAATGAAACATGAATTATTTTTTAAATCAGGGAAAACAAAATTTGTAAAAAAAAAAGAAAGAGAAAAGGGGAGGGGAGAAAATATTAAGAAGAGTATTGCCTAGTATTCTCTTGAGCAGTGATTTTTGTTCCATTCAACGAATATATGTAAGGCATAGTGTCATAAGCTACAAACTTGAGATTCACAAGTAATTATATCACAGATGGATTTAATAAAGGCTATCAGAGAGGTTTAAAAAAATACTTTGGCAAGTCAGGATAAAGAGGTGTAATAATTCATGCAGTGGTGGTATTAGGAATGTTTTTGTGTAGTGAGTGTTATTCTTGCGGAGGCTTAGCCAGAATTTTGGCTTGCAAGGTTGGATGTGGGAGAATAACTGGGTGGAATGAAAAGCTTGAACAAAGGCAAGGAAGGAGTCAGAAAGACTCAATTTGGGAAATCAAAAGTTTGGTTTATCTAGAGTACAAGGATGAATATAGGGATGAGTAATAGTAAGTAGATGAGAATGGAAAGAGAAGTTGGGGCTCTCTTATCATGAACACCAGGGGAGAATGATAGTATTTAATTCAGTAAAAAATTGAGATTTGGAGTTTTTGTGCACAAGAGTGAAAGGATCAGAGGCGTGCTTCAGGAAGATTAATTTGCCCAGACTCTGTAAAATCTAAAGAAACATAATCAGGTTGGAAATAGTGAGATGAGAGTACCCTGAGCACTTTGTAAAAGGATTAAGAGGTAATGCAAAGATACATAAAACATTTCATTCTAATGGGCAAAAAGGACAGCTCCTCATTTGATTTCATATCCTTTGTTGTGGCACAGCAAGGTAAATTCAAAGTATTTTTTTGGCTATTAATTTAAGGAAGGCTAGCAACTGCTATTTTTTGTTTCTCTTTCTTAAAGAAGTAGTCGTTATTATATAATATTGAGAATAGAATTCCCCACATTAATTAATAAAGGTCTGGTACTCCTGTCTATCAGAATTTATGTTGTAAAGGAGTCTGAGCTTAAGATATGTTAAGTTCCCAAATACAGATATGTATAGCTTATATAGTTAAAGCAGCATTCTGTCATTGGCCTGCCTAAGGAAACTACCACTCATGTTGAGGAAACATCATCAGGAAAGGGAAAAGGGGTCTCTTGGCATGATTAGCAATTTGTCATTTTGACTTTCCTCTTCCACTACCTCATGGTTCATAAAGGTTACTTTAAAAAATCACAAAATGATTTATGTGGAAAGAATTATTCCACTTTGAGGAGATTTTCCCCTTTGGTCTTTTCAGCTCCTTGCTTTCTTCCTAGATTTCATAATTCCCTGTACCCATGGTTTAGTCATCTCAGTCCAAGTGAATGGTGCTAAAGTAAACATAGTTACATTTTAAATGCAGTTTTAAAAAAAGATATTTACAGATCCTCAGCATGGATGTTTGTACTTCCCAGTGTACTTTTAGTTCTGTATGACACAATTGCTTTGTCAGTTGAAAGATATTATATGAGAAAAAGACCTTCAAAACAAATTTCTGTGCCTCCAGTGCTCAGCTTTATTGCCAGTTCTTTAGGAGGAAGGAGGTTGGCAGTGACTGTCTTGGTTTTGCCACTGGCTGACACATTCTTTTAGCAATAGAATCTTTGTGTGATCTCTCAGAAGGCCTGGGACAGTATTTAAAATGGCAGAATAAGCAAGACAGTCATGGGTAAACAATTGTACTTTTGCCTATAGATTCACACTTGCAAAATTATAGAAGAGTCCATGAACTAAGGTAAATTGACTTTAGTAAAAGTCAAAATATGAACTTTTATTGGAATTTCATAATGAGGTCATGTTTTGGAAAGAATGGGGGCAGGAAAGCCAATTTTAACAAGAAAGAAAGAACTTACATGTTTATATGTTTCCTGAAATATTAAAAAACATGCTATAGTTATAGTTAATTCTTACTAATGTTTGATATTTTAGATTTATATTCAGATGTTTAATGCCTTCCACATTTCAATCAGTGGACATGACTTGTCTGATTTTGAAAATGGATTTGATACGTTTAGGATATGCTTATGCCGTTTGTTTTATAGTAGCAGCTTTTCTCTTAAGACAGTTTAGCAACTTCTAATATAAAAATTCTTTGAGCAGTTCACTTTAATAAAAAGTAGTCATTTTGAATGCTAGATACAGTAATTTCAAGTGAAAAGACTGTGAGTACAGTCTTTTGAAGTATATGCTTCACTCCCCTTGTGGATTTGGTGATAGCAAAGTGAAGTAATAGATTCTTGGCATTTGCAGATCACGCACTCATAAAGCAGTGTAATGTTGTGATTAAGAACAGGGATTCTGGAGACTGAGTACCTGAATTCAGATCATATCCTTCCTACCTACTATCTGTATGATCTTAAACAAGTTATTTAATTTCTCTGAGTCTCTGTTTTCTCATCTATAAAACAGAGATATTTATAGTAACTATTCATAGAGTTGTTGTGAGTTCAGTGAATTAACCTATGTTAAGCAATTAGAATAATGCCTGGCACACAGTAAGCGTCACATAAATGTTTTGTATTATTATGGTTGATAGGGCAGCATTGAAAGCTCACGACATGTAGTAATTTATAATTCGATGAAGCATATAATTGAATTATAGTATAGGGCTGCTAACATGAGAGTGACACAATTGCTGGTGATACAGGTTGAAAAGGTCTAAAAAGTAGTGGATTGGCACGTAATAGGAAATCAACTGATGCTTTTATATAAATGATTAATTATTAGTGAATAATAGAAATATAGAAATAAAGGAAAAAGGAGAAATAAAAGTTTAGGTTTGATTTGAATAGTGGGATTTCCTATAGGTATAGAACCATTAATGTAATCATCCACATATTTCAGTTGCAGTTGACTAAATTCTGTGGAAAAAATTATATGCTATAGGAATATTCTCAAATTTGAATGGCTATAGCCATATGAGAAAGTTGGAAAATTCTCTTCTCAAAAAAAGAAATTATACAGTTGGACAGAATTGGCAAAAATAACCATCTTTGTGCTCTGGAAATTGATCAGAGGGATGCAACAATCTGGAAAGTACTTATGCTTGAAAAATAGCTGAACTTTGGGAAAGAATTGTGGGACTCTGTGGCATTCTTGCCTGGGGCTACTTGCATTCTCTCTTCCCTGCTTGGCCAGGTGTGAAGGTTCTCCCAGGTTGAGGTAGGCCATGAAGACCAGCACTGAGGCTGTATGCATGTGCAGGGAAAGATCTCAGTGGAAAGTAAAAACAAGGACAGACTTGAAAGTGGCCTAAATTTTGAATGTGTTCTCCTGCCCACTGGCATAGGATGGAAGCTTTAGTAGCTAAAGTATTTGAATGCAACCCCTTTTCAGTCACTGGTTGACCACTAAGCTATGCAGACACAGTGGTGACCCTTAGGAAACCAAGCTTAAAAAAGGAAAACTTAAAACTTTTTTCTTAAAAAAGAAAAAAAAAAGAGCAGAGATATCAACCTCTGCTTGTTACAGTAGGGTGGGGGAAGCAGATTTACAGATCTAGCTGAACAAGTTATCAAAGAATAAACCAACCAACAGCAATTGATAACAGTCTTCTTGAGAAAAAAATAAGACTCCAGAGTCACTAAAATATATTATCTAAAATGTCTCATTTTCAGCAAAATATTGTAAGATATCCACAGAAACAAGATAGTATGATCCATAGGCAGGGAAAAAAACAGTCAATAGAAATTACTCCGAGTGTCCCCAGAATTCTGGGTTTAATAAAGACTTCAAAGCAGTTATTATAAATATGTTCAAAGAATTAAAGGAAATCATGTATAAAGAATTAAAGGAAAATAAAACAATAATGAATCAACAAATAGAGATTCTCAATAAGGAGATAGAAATTATATTAAAAGGAAAAAAAGAACAAAATAGAAATTCTCAAGTTGAAAAGTACAATAATTGAAGTGAAGAATTAAGTAGGGGAAAAAAAATTCACTGGAGCATCTCAACATGATAGTAAATTATCCAATCTGAAAAACAGGTTAAAAAATTTGAAGAAAAATGAACAGGGATAAAGAGACCTGTAAAATGATATTAAATATACCAATATACATATAATGGGAGTTCCAAAAAGAGGACATAGGGAAAGGGGCAGCAAAAAATGTTTAAGAAACAATGGCTGAAAATCCTAAATTTGATGAAGAACAT